TTGTAATAATACAATTTCTTAACAGTTTTATTTGGATTTCGACTTTTTTTTCAACATCTCGTGAAATGATATATAAAAATCAAAACATTGCATGCATGATTTAATGAATATTGCTTGCGTGATTTGAGTGTTTTTACAATCATGCAAGATAAAAACACATCTCCCAGTTTTAAGAAACTTAATTAATATTTTAGTGTTCGAATTGACTCAAAAAATAAATGTGCACATTTTATTTGTTATTTGGAAAATATGCTTCTGTTTACTTGCGGTGAAAATATGCTGCAAGTTTTATTTGCGAAACAATTATATTTATTGCCATCCTTTTGGCTATTTACTTTTGTTATAAAGTAAATATGTATATATCTATAGATAATCGTGAAAAGAAATTTAGAATTACCTTATTACGTGGTAAATTCTTAATTTAAAAGCTCTTTATAATATAGTAATATTTACATAAAAGGTTTAATAAATATAAGAAATTTATAAAATGGCATGATTTGACTATGGTAAATTTTTGAATAAACGTAAAAATGAATGTTTGTTCGTTGTTTTCTTTTGTTGAATGTTGTTTTCTTTTACCGAGTTAAATACATTTTCTAAGAATTTAGGTTGTATCGTAGCTATCATAAATGTGCATGATTTCTTTCTTTTTTAGTTAATTGTTATACGTAGTTATCTTGCAAATTATTTAATCAAAGAGGTAAATTTCTATAGAATAAGAACATACGGAAATTTACAAAATTTATAAAGGCATTGATATAATAAAATTTATCAAGTTATACAGAATGAGGCTTACAGAGCATATTTGCCGTTTAAATACAATTAGTCATACAAAGTCGTTTAATACAATACATAAAATATTCTCATGTTCAAGAAATCATTGCGGAGTTAGAGAACGACCAAAACTTCAATGGCTGTCTTCCATTAATGTAGATTTCAAAACAGTCAGGGTATTAAACTGGCAAGACCTGGCAGCAAGGGACATGGATTCCAGAGATGGCCAAGACAAACTTCGGGATGCCATGCCAATGCTAATAATGATGTTAAATAAACTTTCGAAAAATGTAAATTGCTGTAGTAGCTATCGTGAATATCAATGCATGGTCGTTAATTTTTACTAATGTCTTCAATATTCTTAAACCTTATCCATTTACAGTTTTTTTTTCACCACCATCTAAAATGCACTTTCACAATAGGCTGTAAAAATTAAAAAGAAACTTTTAAACTTCCAAGTTTCTCTTGCATTCTTGGGTAGGGGCTTTATTGATGACTCTGTTATCCTCAAAACGTGCTCCCTAAGCAACTGTTTTCTGTTCTCAGAGAGTGTACTTACATATAATAATCTACCATACTCTCCGAACTTAGCACTCACAGACTCATTCCCAAAAGTGCTAAATTTGCTAATGGATCTAAGTTTGAAGACCCAAGAACACGGTCATTTTCGCCACATGTGTCTTGTTTTCTAAATAATTTCTGGAAGAGATGGAATTGTAAGAACAGTGCAGTATCGTGCAGTTTTTGTTTGTTTCTTTTTTTTAAATCTTTTTTTTATTACAACTGGTCATTTCCACACGAGATACACCAGATTGGGGAGGATGTGGTGAAACGTAGAGACACACAGTAGAAACATGATTTGTTTTTTTTTTAATGCTAAGCATTTGACATCGACGAGCATTCTATACCTTTGGACTTCTGATCGAGTCATTGGCGAATTTATTTACTTTTATTACAATAGTGGATTCCAGTTCCGAACTAGAACAATACTGACTTTATCAATAATAATATAATTATTTGGCTTTTTTTCTCGAATTAGAAGCTTGCAATGTCATTTGCTGAAACCATAGTGGCTCTGGGGATAGAGCACTCGCCTCCAAAAGACGTGTGACCTGGGTTTGAATCCCAGCGACAGCAGGTCGATACGAATTCCGCTTACAGCTCCCACTGACCATAATGCTGACATAAAATATCCTCCGTAATAGACAGATCATGGGTTAGAGGCTCCTTGCCTACAGGCTAACTGTGAGAGAATTTTGTCTCCATTTAACGTAAATGCGGGTTAGTTCCATTCAAAAGTCCAGCACGAAGGCAAGCTTCTTCCAATACATCCGGGAGTTCCCTTGTTTTCTGGATTGGGTTCAAAATTACAAAGCTAAGTAATTGAACGTTAATGGTCGTACACTCATTGGATAGGCTGTTCAACGTAGGTTATAAAATAAAATAACACTTGTCCCCTTAGCAACTGTTTCAGTTTCAGAAAATGTGCTCATAAATCATCTACCACACTCTCAGGACTTGATAGTCTAATTTCCGACAGTCTTAAATCTTAAGACAAGCGCCCTCTATGGGTATCAGCAGGAAGTTGACGTACCGCTGACGCCAACAAAGTACTGTTTTGTTGCTCAGCGTGAGCAGTCGGTCCAACGCAGACATTATCTCGCATTGCGCATGCGCTAATAACGTAAACAAATATTTATTTTCTTTGAATTTGCATTGATTTTGTTATTGTAGACCAGTGCTTTAGAGAACAAATATTGACTCGGTCGAAGAAAAAATACATTATAGCTAAACTAAATGAAGAAGAAGAAGCTATGTTTATCGCTGAAATTAAAATCTTGGCTGATTTCAATGCTCTATTGGATGTTGTCCACCATTGCTTCTGTCGTTAACGTTACGTTGCAATCCAACTGCAGTTGATTCGGACGTCAGTCGTCGTTCAAGCTGAGCGTTCTATGACGTATGCTGTCTAACTCACAAATCGACCAATCAGAGGTTATCGCTCGCTTCAAGCTGACGTTTTGCAACGCCGACCTGTGCTAAAGGTCTGGTTTCTTAGGACAAGCGCCTTATCTGGGCGTCAGCGGGACGTCAACGTCACGCTGACGCCAGCAAAATACTGGTTTGTTAGCTCAAGGCCTGGTTTCTTAGAACTAACGCCTTATCTGGGCGTCAGCGGAAAGTTGACGTAGATCTGACGCCAAAAAAATACTTTTTTGTTAGCTCAGCGTGAGCAGTCGGTCCAACGCAGACATTATCTCTCATTGCGCATGCGTTAATAACGTAAACAAATATTTATTTTGAATTTGTATTGATTTTGTTATTGTCGACCAGTGTTTTAGAGAACAAATAATGACTTTGTTCAAGAAAAAACACATTATAGCTGAGCTAAATGAAGAGTGCTATGTTTAATGAAGAAGCTATGTTTAATGTCAAAATCAAAATCTTGGCTGATTTCAATGTGCTGTTGGATGTTGTCCGCCATTGCTTCTGTGGTTAACGTCACGCTGTAATCCAACTGCAGTTGAGTTGGACGGCAATTGAAGTTCAAGATAAGCGTTCGATGACGTATACTATCAAACTCACAAATAAACCAATCAGAGGTTAGCGCTGATTTCCAGCTGACGCCGACGTTTAGGACGACAGGCTAAGAAACCAGGCCTTAAGAAACCAGGCCTTTAACGGGTTGGGGTTTAAAAAATCTAAAGATGAACATCGTCATTTTAGCCACATTGTGTCTTGTTTTGCAAATAATTTCTGGAGGATATGAAATTGTAAAAACAGTGCAGATAAAATGCAGTTTTTTATCCGTCTACTGGCTATTACGCACGAGGTAGACTAGAGTGTCGAAGCTGTGGAGAAACGTCGAAGCACACAGTAGAAACTAGAAACGCTTGTTTTCTTTTAGTTCTAAGCAGTTGGCAACGAGTAGCAATTCCATACATTTTGAAATACGGCCTACTTTTTTTCGACTTGTTTGCGATTTTAGTTCGTTTAATTGCAATCAGGGATTCCAGTCCTCCACTAGTACAGTATATTGACCTAAATTATAATAATATGATTTTTTTTCTCCAATTTCAAGTTTGCAATGACATTGGTTGGTAAATACAATTACAAACTATTAAATAGTATGTTCAAAGTTTGCATATACATGTTTAAAAAACATCAGTAATTTTGTAAAAGAACCAGATTTTTCGTTTCAAACATCTATGACTTAGAGAAAAATATCCAATTGTGTCGTTAATATGTTGGATAAGATTTGTTAAACTTATTTCTGTTAAGGAAAATGAAAGTAAATAAGGATAGAGGATTTTCTCTAATGCTAATTTTCAGTATAAATGTAAAATAAAAACTATATAAATATATGTCTATTGAATCAGCGCTGATGTAACTTTAATCCAGACTTTTGGCCTGTTCTTGAAATCTCGACGAAATACTTAAATAGTTCTCTTCGAAATACTTAAATCTTTCTCTATACAAGTGTATAGAGAAATGCTAACATTTAAAAAAAATAAAAAATTTTGCCGTATCATTCAATTATTGGGGTGGGGGAGAATAAATTATTATTTTAATAGTGTATTTTATAAAAAAAAATTATAATAATATTATAATTATATTATTATTATAATAGTGTTCGTCATATAAAAAATTATGGTAGTCAGGTTGCGATTCAAGGTACGGGCAGCAGACTGTAATGTTTAATAAAAATTATTATATTTATAACATTAAAATAATTATAAAATTATAATACTTTAATTATATTATTATTATTGTAGTGCTCGTCTTGTAAACACCTGTAGTAGTCAAATTGCGATTCGAAATACGGACTGCATGCTGTATTTTATAATAAAAATTCTAATTAAAAATTGAATTGTAAATATTATAAAGTTTACGGGAGTGATTTAAAATTTTAAATGTCTATGTTAATGCACTTGAAGTGTATAGTGCAAAGGTCAAAAATCAAACCTCTTACTTATTTATCATATTAATAAATTCTGTCGTTCTTTTTATAAAGTTTTTAATTCTTTACGAAGAGCATAAAAGGTATCAAGATATTAATAACACTGATATTTAAATTAAAATAGTTTAAACTCATTAATTGTTTTATAAGAAATAAACAAGCTATAATGGGAATATTCTATCACACTCCAATAAACTCATCCTAAATTTAGATAAAACTTAAATATGCTTGCATAAATAAAACCCACGCGATATACCTGGAGATTCTGCTTTTAAATTAAACATTATTTCACATAACTCTCGCGAAGAGCTCGCCTCACTATTGGCGCCGAAACAATATGACGTCATTCAGATCCGAATCCTCCTCTCTTTCTTCAAAAGTGAGAAAAATCGATACTGGGCCGCAAGCAAAACATATCCTCTTTCCGTTCCCCGGCGCTTTACGAACATACAGACAACCAAGATGGCCGCCAAATCCCCAACGCCAACGACAGATCCCAGTAATAGCTGATTTTTAAGCCACAGACATGTCGGCTAATTTATTTAGAGTTCACAGCCGCTGAAGAAGCCAAATAGCTGAAGTGAGACAGTGATAAGAGAAGAGCAATGGAGAGTAAAGAGAATATCTTGGCTAGGGATGAAGTTTGAACTCTGCCAAAAAGCCACGTGTTTTTGAAGAGAAATTAAATCATGGACAGTAGTCCGATTCCGGCCAAAAGCAGGTGACTTTATTTTTTTTAACTGTTTTGCGTTATGAAAGATGTGATCTATTAATCTGTTATAGATTTGATAACAGTTAATCGGAATATAGCTTATAGCTCTAATTCTTAAATTGATAGAAAATCGATATTATGAATTTTTTTTAATTTTTGCTTGATATCTACAATCAAAAATGGTTATTTTTATAAAATTATTTGAAAAGCATTGTCATGCTTAATATGTTGCAAAAAACTGAAAAAGCATGCATCCGAACAGACAAATGTTTCAAAGGAAAAAAGCGATATATATCTAAGTTTCGATTTTTATACGTTAGAAAAATTTATAAATTGAACAAATTTTTTACAAATTTAATACAATTAAAATAATTTAAGACTGAGCATATTAATTTTAATTGCATTACTATATTTCATCACTAGCATGCTTTTAAATGTATATCGTGTTTTTGAAATTGTATTAAATAGTTAAAACTATGTATCCAAATATCATTCTACGACTAAAAACGATGCAAATACTTTTATGCACATAAGCGCCGAAATGAGAAATATTTTATTTGTGATTTTAAGATGATATATTCAATAACTTAATGCTATTCAAGTAATTTTATTTTTAATTAATATTTTTTTTAAAATTTCATTAAAATATTTACTATAAATTGAACCGAGAATATAATTTATTTTAAGAGAATAATATCTTGTATCTTAACATCAAACAAAATTTTTAAAAAAACTATTCATCTATTAGAAATCAAAATCAATTATAATCAAAAATACGGTTGAAATATTTTTTAAATGTTTCTTTAAAACTATTGCAGTGAAAGGCTGAATAAGTTAATGCAATTTAAACGATTTCATTGCACTGTAGTTTATTATAAATTGAAAAGAAAATTTCATTCATTTTAAGAGAATGTCTTACACCTAAACATTAAATTTCAATCGAAAAAACTATTTATTAATTAAGAATTGAAATCAACAACAATAAAATAAAATCTGTTAAGGTATTTTAATAAAGAAAATAAAAATAATAAAGTGAAAGGCTCAATAACTTATTGCAATTCAAATTTTTCAACTCTACTTTACAAAAATTATTTGAATTGCACGAAAATAATTCATCAGAAAGAAAATAAATCATTTAAATAAAACGTCAAAGAAATGTCTCAAAAACGTTCCCCTCACTATTAATTTAAAGAGCAGTATTAAATAATAAAAGGATGAAATTAAGTTAGAGCATTGAAATAAGATAACTTAATAAAAAATACTCACTATTCATTTTTTAAATAATAATATAGTTTTTAATAAAATTATTACAAATATATCAAATTGAAATGATGCTGAAAAAGTTTCTTTATGTATTATCTGCTTATTTGATTTAAAGATATTCCTCTTATATATATTTTACTCTGCTTACTTAAAACACTCAACACATGTTAGTTTATTATCACATATATCAACAGAGTTATCAGCACATTATCATTATGTTAGTTATCAACACAGGTTATTATACTAATATTTAAAAAAATGAACGAAATCATTGTTTTGAAAGCATGTTTACTGATGCTTTTTATTAATCAATAGTTAATTCCAATATACAATAAATATATGTATTAATATTTAATACATATTTTTATTAATATATAATAAATGACAAAATTTACTAAATAATGATCCCAAGAAATTAAAGATATTACTTAATTAGAAAGCTTCATTAGCTTCAGAAATATCCAAATGGAAATAAGAAGTTTATATGTTTCCAACTCTGAAAAAGTAGGCGTCCATTGCTTAAAAGCCTTTGATTTTATTTGGTACTATTAAACAAATTCTATTAAAAATGACATCGGCATAGTGTGGGATCATCCCTCATAAAAGTATGTTTTCTTTCACATGTTTACTTTTCTATTACTATATATACAGATAATTATTGTTAGGTAATATCATTTGTTCGTAAGTTTTTGTTAGGTAATATCATTGTCATTAATATCAAAATTCTGGAAAATCCCTTATCGTTTAAAGCTCTCTTTTTAGAAATACAAAAATTACCTAGAGAATTGATAAAAACTTTTTCATACTTTTAAGATGCTCTAACTGAACTTTTTCATTAGTTACAAAATGTGATTCACGACAAAATTAAGAAAAAAGATTTTAAGTTTTTTTGCACGCATGCGCAACATAAAGGAATTACTTTATACATGTTTAGCGATATTTTTAATAAAAAAAAATTCTAGTTTTAAAATCATAACTTTGTAATAAATTAAAAATTGTTCCAAATTTTAGTTTGATTTTATTGAAAATCTTAAGAGTTATAGCTAAGAAACATAATACAAAAAAAATTATATTTTATAAGAATGCCCATATCTGCATTAATATTTAAGCTTGGTGTACGGAACTGTATGAAATTATTACAAACAAGAACCAAAGTAATCGCGATACAAGTTACAAGCTTATTGCTGTATTTTCTGGCATAGGGTGTTCAAAAATGCTTGTTTTCGTTCATAATTTATTACTAGTCTCCTCTGAAAGCTTTAAACTTAATCGATAAGTATAAGAAAACGCATAACTTAAACATCTCTACAGTTATAAAATAATACTCTAAGTATTTCTTGAGATATTTTAAAAAGAATGTCAAAAACTGAAAGTGTATTTTCCATTATTGTAAGGTGTGTATTATCTTTATTGTGTATAATCATCCTATTAATGACATACCTTTTTTTTCACTTTTTTACTCGGAAAAGCTAAATGTAAGTGCGTATTATATTTATTTTTCAAATAACAGCACTCTTTCCGAAAAATTTAGCTACTTCTGGAATAAATAATTAAAACTTATTAATTTTTAACTGTCTTAAGTCAAAATAAATATTTTGAAGTGCATTTTAAGACCTTTATGCAAAGAAAAACAAAAATAAAAACTTTTATTTGAAAAAAAGCTTAATTATATCCTGTCGAACTTGTACAAACTGAATAAAGGTTTTCCTACCAGACATTCCTCTTTCTTTGAATAATATCAGTATAAAAATTTTTGTTACAAAATAATAATAATATTTTATATATATATATATATATATATATATATATGTAACNGAGAGAGAGAGAGAGAGAGAGAGAGAGAGAGAGAGAGAGAGAAACTGAGTTTCATTTCTAAATTTAAGGTTGTTGTTTCCAATTTTTAATTTCTCAGTTTTTACATTACGCACATCTTACTTTTTAATGAAATCAAGCACATTAAAACACCATTTAACTTACAAAATATTTTACAGTAACAAGAGTAAGTTTTTCATAACTTATTTCGATTAATTTCTTATAGAAAATTGCAGAAGTATAATATTATAAAGTATAATTTTTATATGATATATACTTAATATAATATCCAGCGTTTATTAACCCCTTTCCTCTCACTTTCGTCAAAATCCCGCTTCCGTTGGTGAGCTTTCGTGTCCTATTTCTCGTGCTCGTGATATTTCCGGGCTAGAGCATTCAATAGTAATGCACCAAAAAGGTTTAAATACGTCCATATCTTCCATCACGCCGGAATTTCTTTATTTCTTATTTTAAGCTAGATGTCAGCCCTTTCCAAATATATATATTTGTGATATGTATTTCGTACTCTTAACTCAGCTACTTATGCTCTTTGTGACTACATGTGGTTTGCGTTCTGTGATAAAATATTTTTAATTATGCTTACATTATGGATTCAGAGTTATTTGAATACATGGAGTTCACATTTTGAGCTAAAAAAATTTCAAAAATCAAAAATGAATACATTTATAGTACATGCACGTTTTTTATGCAATTTTCCTTAATAGGAAATAGGCATTTTTATAACCATTTTTTGATAGAAGTTGATGGTTAAGAAGTTGAACACTTTTTTAAATATATAGCAACTGATAAAATACAAGTTATTGTACAGTACTATTTCGTACGATGTACAAATTTTAAAAATTAATTTGAAGATACTTATTTCTTAAATGTGAATGCAGAGAATTAAGCTTGAATATGAAAGGTGAGTAAACTTGAAAGAATAAAAAATTTATATCAGTATTCGCCACTCTGAGTTTCTTTTCTATGTTTACTACATTTATTTCTTACGTACTTTTCTACGTTTATTTTTTAATATTTATTTTTTGCTTATGAATGAACATTTTACTTTTACTTTTCTTCAAGAAATGCAATAGCTGTCAGAACGTTTAACAACTGCTCACACAATGTTAAAACAAAATTTAGAATACTGTTTTTTTAGCATAATGATTTCTTTTTACGGAAAATGATTTCTAATATGTCGATTAACTATTAATGATACTGTGTTAACAATAAAATTAAAGTACAGTTTTAACTCACCAAACGCATTTTTTTAAAGATATTCGATTTCTCGATTAACTGCTACCCTCACAATGTATTTAGAATACTAGTTTTTTTTCCGTCATACATTTTTTTTAAAAAAATTCCCGAGCTCTAATATCTTGAATAATTAGTAACGACCCGATGCTAAAAACAGTATATATTTAGAATACTATTTTCATACTCTCCTAATACATTTCTTTTCAAAAAATGCAATTTTTGATACCTCGATTAAGTACTACTCACGCGATGCTTAAAAATAACGGTGTTGGTTAAACTCTAAATTGGGGAAGCCTCTTGGTGACATCTTCTCTGAATGTGGATTTATTTTAAGAATTGCAAACAAGATTAGTTCTTTAGAGATTTATCTGAGAAAACTTGAAGGTCGTAAACTTGAAGCCCTAAAAAACAATCTTGACAGTTTTTTCAGTATAAATATTAAGCTCTTACCTAATGCCTACGCTCTTTTTTTCTTATAGACGTTTATAAAACGACATCATTAGGTCAATGAAATGTTTTTTCGACACAAATTTGCACTTTGCTTTCAAAATTTTGTCAATGGTAGGGAATTTGATGCTTGAAAAATTTCCTCAATTCATATGCTCAAAAAATATTATTTTTTATCAACTTTTGAATATATTTTTGATAAAATTAAACTTATAATTCATAAAATATAT